AGCCGAAAATCTTCACTATTGTCATTGCATCAATATAGTTCTCTCGTTTCCATCTGTCACCTCCAGTGAAAGAGGATGACAGTAAAATCCTCTGACCAATGTTTGATGCTTCATTGTTGCCTGTGTCTAGAGATCTTCTGATGTTTTCATATGTTTCACATCGTAGTTTTTTCTGATTTCTCTTCACAAAAAAGATACGATCAGCTTCAACTGCACTGTAACCATCAACTAAAAACTGTTGGAAACACCTCCGTGCAAACAATAGCATGCTACCATCATCATTCTTTTCCATAATACGGAAAGCAAACCACTCTCTCATACTCATCCATTTGCGGGGACCCTTGTACTCTTCTTCTTCATTTTGATTTTCCTCTTCATCATCATCATCACTTTGATAATCATCATCATCAGAATCAGTGTCTGGATTTCCTAGTTTTATATTGATTCTGAATCCGTCTTCACCATACGGAAAAATGATTGGGTACTGAAGTGGAAGGTATGAAGGGTGCAACTCGTTTATTCTCAGTAATTCTCCAGACTTATATTGAACAATAATGTCTCTTGTCTCAAATTCATTGTCCTCATCTCCTGGAATTATAGCTGCTACCTCATCAACTGTTGGAATGTTGTATCTTCTTGCATCCATTTTCCTAGCACTAATAAGCTTAAGCTTTATTTCTGTTGAAGAGTCCACCTGAACTGTGTCACGTACCTTTCTGTAAGTCTGTGCTAGGACATTATATTCATCTAATGTTTCCTTTATGTCACTAACAATTTGTGCATCTAGTTTGCTGAAACTGTCTCCACTCTGACCAGAACTGCAGTTTATAACATAAATATAGATAAATAAGGCGTTATAACTATATATATATATATATATGAAACATTTGGAATTACATTTACATGGAAAATCATTTCTTCATATATAGTAAGAGTTGTACCTCAAAGCACCTATTCTGTTATTGACTTCATTCTGAGTGTCATAAATATACAACTGAGAGAACTTAGGAATTGAATCAACTTGTGGGAGAAGACTACCCATCAAATGACTGTTGTGTCCCTGCATTTTGAAAACAAATGGAGCACGTCCATTGTTTATGGTGCTAACAATTTTTCCTCCCATGGACGTGAATGCAAACATATTATTGTAGGCTAGTATGTTATCTAAAAAGTGTCTGCTTTTGATGTCATTAGACATAAACAACTCCTTTAATTTTGAAGGTGGTTCCTTCAGTAAAGGTAGATGGATTTTGCCTCTCCTGCAACATATTGAAAATGTGGGGTTTGCTGGTCTCCTTCTTTTTTCAGTCCTCTCAGCATACCACATGTTAGCTCCACAGAATCTACATACATAATCTGGATCACCAAGATCATCATAAGCTGCATGAACATTTTTTTGTTTAAAATACTATTTTACTGTGTTTAAAAATATAAAAATACTGTGATGTAAATATAAAATACCTGTGTTGATTATATTAACCTCATTTTGTTTGACTTTGTACTTGCTAGGATGCAATGCAGTCTTCTTCAAATTTATTCCAGTTTGTTGGCACTTGCGCTTCAAACCTTTTAGATTGGTATCTGATGTTGCTGTGTAAGGAGACCATAGTACATGAATGTTACAAAATCAGAGGTATGTCCTACGTGACTATATCTCATAATGTATGAATTCATGAAAATTGAATTATTATTATCAGTTTTTAATTTGTGGAGAAATTTGTTTTGTTGCTGGTACTTATGTTTAAATATTTTCATCATAACAGTAATAATAACTTATATAAAATGGATAATGACTAATAATAATAAAGCACCTACCGTTATAACTGTGCCTTTGCAGTGATGAATTATTATGAGTTTTTGAAATTGAAGTATCTGTATTATATATGTTGAAACCACCCATTCGAATGCATGGCTTTGTTTGAACAATCTTCCCTTTTTTTTATCCAACAATTCCTTTCTTTTCATTCTGGGATTCTTAGAGGTAGAAATCCCAAATGAAGTTGAATCTGTACACATAAATAAAATATAAACATATGCGATCCACACTTCACAAAAACTTATTAACAGTAATGCCAAATTACGTACCTTTTCAAAATACAGAAGAAATTGAAACTGATTGTTGGTTCACATTTGGCATGAAAAACGGATAATGATTGTGGTGTGTAAGCATGCGGGAATGTCGTCCGTTAACAATTTTGCCTTTTTTATTGTTCAAAAGTTGACATCTGAACCATCGACAATCCTTTGGAGTAAGATTCAGGCTATTGCTTAAAATCTGTTTGAAGAAACCATGCATAATAAACCTGTAAATCACCTTTCTCCTTTGATTGTTTATGATTTGTATTCGATTCTTTCTGGCTGTTTTGGCTTGAGTCTTCTTTCTTTTTGCTTGTAAAATTTGTGATCGGTTTTTCTGGCAGCCTTTGCTGACATGTTCACCATTGTTGAATCGTTAAACTTCTGTGAATGTGTCAATGTACATTTAGATGTTATTGAACTGGTAACATATGGTATTTATCCCATGTTTTAAAGTATTGATCGTGTTTCAGCTTTTACATGTGCAAGGAATCTGATTTAAATGATTAGATGATTCTCTTTTGTGATATTTTAGTTGTTATCTGATTTTATCATAATCTTCTTTTTAAGGAAACTATTTCTATTAAATATTTTTAAGACTGTAAAAGTATTTATTTTAATAGAGTCTTATCTTATCTGTATTAACATAAATAATTACAAATCAGTTGCAGTCATAGTAAAACATTCCTCCATCAAATAACGTTACCAACCAAAAGAATACCAACCAAAAGAATAAAATAATTTCATGAAGAAATCACATATATCATAAGCAAAAGTTATTTAGTTGTCACTAGACATTTAAAAAAACTTTCAATATTTTGAAACAATTCAAACAATCATGATGAAGATAGATCTAGGAAATCTCTGAAATAGAAAAAGTTACATCATTCTTTCTGGGGTGTACACTTTCGACATCCAGCATAAATTTACGAACACTTCTTTTTGGAAACTAATTATCAAGCATCAGTGTGTTCCAATTCCCGACAATCTTCAACTGGGACACCTTTTTACCATAATGCAGTGGATTGTATGATTTATGGAACTCCATATTATACATCATTGCATTAGTGTATATGACAGCCAAGTTTTTAGTAAGGATACTCCTATGTCGTCTCCAGAATTCAGATGGAACAGTCTGTAAAAAAAAAATTGGGAAAAAGATAAGTAAAGTAAATATGATTAAGCTGACAGAAAGTAAAAGGTATAAAAGGGATTACAATGGCTTTATGCTGGCAGTGGTTATCTCCTATGGGAATCTCGAAGCAGTCATCTTCTGTGTCAGTAATAGTAGGCTTTTGTTCAAATCTTTCTTTACTGAAAAAATGCATAATTAATAGTATTTTTCCAGTATATGTGAAAACAGTAAATTCAGAATGTTGTACCATATTGGCATGGTCTTTTAAAAGCTTATCCCATTGATAACCACTTACAACCAATCTTGCAGGATTCTCATGAGGAGAATATGCTATTTGATTAATATATGTACGGTACCCACAGACAACCGACCAGTTTGAAAAATAACCAAAGTTATCTGCATGATCTTCTGTGATACAACTACTTAATTCAACCGGTAGAACCTGTGTGACCAAATTGAACAAAACTGAAACAACAAGTTACCTTTTCATATTTGTCAAGATGCAAAAAAATTACAAACAACATACCATTTGAACTTTGATGTTGTTGATGTGATTCCATGTCATATGTGGTGTTGGACTGTTGCTGAGAACATTATTTTTATCAAACACAAAAACATTCATAATCCCTAATTCCCTCACAATAAAATAGAGTCCTTGATTGAGAACTAATTTGTGAGCCTTCACAAATTCATACCAATTGTTACCACCAATCCTCACGTGTGTCCAGTCTTTATTAACGAAGCCACTGACTTTGTACTCGTTATTGTTACTGATCAATAAAATTTCTTTTGATCTATCTTCATCTTGAATGAGCAAAGTTGAAGGCAAAAGGAATTTCCTACATCATATGTTAATTGATGATAACAACCACAAAAGTTTATTACAGATCTGGTATCAGAAATACAAACTGATGGTCCTTTATAACCTATTATAAAAACTTAAATATTACCTGGAAGTAGGCAAACCCTAGTTCCACCCTCACAAAACACTTGTTTGACATTGTTGCTTGTTGCCTGTCGGATTTTGGTCAGAACTGTGGATGTAAGTTGCAGAAGGAATTTGTAAAGGGGTGGCTTATTGTATTTTTAACAGTTATATTAAAGCCCCTAATATGTTATTGGGAATATAAATATGGTTACTCCTGATTTACAGGGATAACCCTCAATTATAACGTATTTAGTGACAGTTCTGTTGATAAGATTATATTTTGTATTCACACTGATAAGATTAAGGCGTTTTTTTTTTCAGTTTAAAAGTTTTTTCATGGAATTTACAACATTCCTTTGTCTGATGGTGAATTATATTAAAGTAAACTTTATCAGTGATTACATATTTGCAGGTTTAATTATTTTTGCTTCACAATAGATATATATGACTGAGTTTTCAAAACTTTGAAATGAAGACAATGAAAATTTAATGTTATATTGCGGATAAAGTGTTTATTTCTTTCATGAAAGTTACAAAATATTCTTTGTTTTTAAATTTTTAGCCTTATGGAATGAACTTGACATTGAACATTCTGTAAAACCAAAGCAAAAAACACGCCTGTAATCTATCTAAGAATCTAAAGTGCTTAACAATAAACACCAATCCTTGTATTGCATAAGGCAAAAGATGATTGAGATTATAAAGCACTAAACATGGTGCTTATAAATTATTAAATATGTTAAAATCCATGAAAGGAGAGTTCTAGCTGTAGACAACAACATCACACATATGATGTAGTTCAGTTTTGATTTGGAAATTTAAATTCAAATGAAAATAAGATCAAGAACTCAGGAATTTTCTTTAGATTTTCCTGACGCATTTATTCTGGTGGGATTTGACACTCTCAGGATCCTGAGTAGATTTAGACTTCTTTGGTGGGGGACTATCAGCAGTATCTTCCAGAGGATTTCCAACATCAGCATTCTGGATATTAACATCACCAGTACATGATACAGCAGTCTGCAAAAAAATACAGGTAAGAAAATGAATGTTTCAGTTATCTGGAGTATATTTTATAATCAGTAGTCCATAATGTATGGAAATTGTTTACGGATAACCTTTGCAGTACTATCATCTGTTTGGGTCATACTGAGGCCAAATTCAATACTGGTTTCTGCATCTATTTCCTGCATTATTAAAGCATAAATAGAGTACATGTGATATGTGAGACATTATACAATTTGTATATTTGTTATTTTGCTGGTAAATAAAATTAATTCCTACAAAAGTGAAGATGTAATGATAATTACCAGATCTTCAGCTACAGCTTGTAGGTACTGTTTTATAATTGCAGCATCTGTAATAACCCTAGCAACTGACATTTCACTGTCCCTGTTCCTTATATTAAAATGTGAAACATCAAGCTTGAACAAACACTTTTTTCCTTTAAGTTCTTCTAGCTTATTTGGATAATAAACTCCTGGTTCCTATAGTTGTGGGTTTTTCAATCAGAATCTATTGATAATGAATATTAATCGTGCAAGTAAAAATATAGACTGATACCTCTTCAAGGAGTTCAGATTTATTCTTGTTAATTAAATTGTAAACTTGTCTGTCCCATAAGGTTACTATACCACTGCCTGATCCATCAACAACAATTGCCTGTATCTTGAACCTGTCCATGGATTAACCAAAATAATATTAGATAGTGATTAAGTGAAATATAATTTCTGGAATATCCAGGTACTGAATTGGTCATTTTTATGTGATGATAATGATCTTACTTTTGAGTAACAGCAGAAACAGGACCATGTTTGTTGCATAGAAACTTTTTGATACCTTCACCATTGATTTCACTGGTGCCCTTTTTCCCCTTCCCACATTGATTACTTTTAGGCAATCCTACGAACCTGGTATCAGTGTCTTTACCTATTTCTGCGACCTTCTTGTTGCAGTCTCTACATCCTATAGCACCAATCAAACTCCTTCACCAATCCAGTAATTTTAGCAAATGTAACCACATATCAAGGCTGATTGAATTCAGATGAACTTAGTGATTCTTACAACATAGACATAAGATTTTGAAGAAAAGTTTCTGAATATGTCATTACCTCCTCTAACTCCTTTATTTTAGACAGAGTTAACATTGATGCATCCTTCACAAAATCTTCATAAGTATTGTATCCAGATATGTTAGAAAGTATAGAAATCCGCTGGACACTTGCATCTTTATCCTCAATAACCTCCAATCTGTGAAATACGAATAATATCATGAAATTGGAAAAATAGGTAGAATATGATTGGCCAAAAGATAGTATACAGACACATTTATGTAACAGAACCTTATTTTGTATTCAGAAATTGCAGACATAGACATGTCATTTGGGAAGATTCTGCCATTGTACATATTAGGGGTGACTGAAGCTCTTGCTGTTAAGATTTAAAAGACAAAGAAATATTGAAGTTGGTAACAGTGTATTTAAATAAATGGAAAGTTTAAGTTGGATGCTAATGAAATGACTCACAGTTCCACTTTTTGCATTTCACATATTGCACAATAAACACCACCGGCATTACTGGATGATCATCCATCATTGCTGATATTGCATCAGCATTTCCATTCCACAGGGTGATCTTTAACCTATCAGCCCTGTGTAAAATTTCATGATTGTTCAAACTTATTCGATTACTGTTTGGATATCTATAATGATCATATTTTAAATATAGATATAAGAATGTACCTTTCATCCTCAAGCTCCACAGATATCCTCTTCTTATCCCCATCAATGATCGCCTCACTAACACCAATAATATGTCCAATAACATCTAGATTAAACAAAAGATTTAGTAAGGTTGTTATGTTTTATGAAATCAAAACATAAATTGTAATAATATAAGGATATAAAATATATACCAAAACAAAAATCTTAATTCGCAATGAAATTTGATATTTCAGCAAATGGAGTGAATTCAAACATATGGTTAGGAATATCTGAATCAACAACATCATCCACAGTATCCACAATAGTGTTAGGTTCAAAGACGATTTTTTATTCGTGTTTTGAACAACGGTAACCACCAACAATGTTTAAAGCATGATCAAAACATGCTATTTGCCGAAGGTAGCCTTCTGTGAAGTAGTTGATAAAGCTGTCCATAAAGCTTTTAGGGATGGTAGCCTGGATTTTCACACCCTATATTCGGAAAATAGATTAGTATACAGTGATGTAGTTGGTTTCTATAAATTTCATAAAAATTTAATATCCAAAAAGATTGCAATGTGTTATACCTGAGCATCAATGAATATGAGTTCAAGTGACTTTATTTCTTTCTGATCTGCCTTCATGTACATCTTCCAGATTGACATGACACGAACTACGATTCTGAAGTGTGGACTTTTGGTGCTTATCAAGCCGTTAATGTCTGCAATATACCTCTGAGCAGCAGCCATTGAAAGGTGATGAAGAGAAGAATAGGTGCCAAAGTCAAGAAAGAGGTGATTCAGCGTTATTTGATGCTGGTTGACTGGTGGCTATAACTCCTGCTGTATAAACATATTTATACAGGTATATTTCATAGCCTTGATAAGCATGGTTGGTTGATAACAGCTGATGGCTATTAAATATGGCATATTTTCCAAAATATGATCATCGGATATGCACAATTTTGGTTACATGAATTCCCGGTTTATCATGGTTGTATGATGATCAGGATACATGGATATATATGCATAATTTTAGGTGAAATTTGATTTATGATCTTGAGAATAAATGTTGATTGATTTATGGTCTGAGTTTTACTGATTTGTAAACACAGTAAAAATGAATCTGGACACCAACATGGCTTTATTCGTTAATGCTTGGAGATGCTAACTGTAAAAATTTGTGATCTTTTGTAGGGCTTTGAAACCGGCAGAAATAATTGGGAGGGCTTTGAATCAGGGGGAGATAATTCGCATAATCTTCTGAATAATTGTAGTTTCTTTTTTAAAATTTAAACTCCTATTTGTAATAACAGTTTAAAGGGAAGATTACCTCTGCTGTATATATCCCTTATACTGAGGAGGAGTTATTATAACGTGATTATTATGATGTGAAGGATTTAATTTTTTGGGGACTGTTTTTTTGGAAACAGTTTAAATGGGAGATGACGGGGATTGTATATTTATCCCTTATATTGGGCAGGATTTTGGAGTCTGTATTTTTGGAGACAGTTTAAAGGGGAGATTTATCTGGACTGTATTTTTTTTTTTACCTTCCCTGGTGATAGCACCCCTTGCCACGTGGCGTATTTTTTGAGAAAATCCTTGAGTTTTTTGGTTTAGGCGGGAAAAAAAACTCTGTGAAGCTGACACGTGTCTTAAGTGTTTATTGCTTTCATGAAGTGTAAAGGGATAACTGATTGTTAATCAATAAGGATTTTGTTGTTGTTAATTTTACCTTTTTTTCCATTTTATATTTTTTGTTAATTTAGTTTTATTTTTAAATTTACGGTTTTACCGTTAAAAAAATTACCATTAAATGATGGAGTGATGTGGTTACAACATATGGACTTGGCTCTCTAATTTTGCCACGTGGATTAGCCTATCTAATATCGCTCCATGTGTCCGATTGAAAACTCTCCTTTAATATATTAGAGATATAATATATAATATATATATAGATTAGTGTTTATCCGCACATTGTGCGAGTTGTTCAAGATATATATGAAATTAATGATTTAAAATTACATGAGATTTCCGACGGAGCGATGTATGTAAAAACATAATATTAATATATATATATATATATATTAATACATGATGAAAATAGCTGACTTGGCCTCAAATTTGAAACTCAAATAAGTTGGAAGTAAAAAAAAATAGATTTAACCGTGATTATAATGCATTTTAACTGTAAAAGATAATTTTATTTTAACTTTCTGCAACAACCTTTTAAAATAACTAATCTGAAAATGAAAACTCAAATAGTGTTTAAGATATTCTAAAATTACTCCTATCCTGAATTTTATACGTTATTTGTTAAATATTGTTCTATTTAAACTCCATGACAGTAAACAGTTCAAAACAATCAGGTATGTCTCTCTGTTTCATTTTCCCTTGACACTTTTGTTTCTTTCTTAGAATTTTTTTTATTCAACGGTTTACTTTCATACATATTTTTTTTTATTCAATACGGGTTTATGTTCAATGCAGGCAATATCAATGGTTTAGTAATAATCTTTGTCATAGTTTTTTTTATTATTTTTTATTGTTACACTAGATTGAAGAATCACTTATTTATGATTTTTTTTCCCTAACACTTTTGAGTCGTCTTCCATAGTTATTTAGAGGAAATCCACAAGGTTATGTCTATCTGCGCACTGATTTTTGGAGATTTATATGTTAAATTTCGTATCACCCGTAAAGACCGAGGACAGTTTTATGGTGACAGATTTTTGAAATTTATTCATAACATCAATTTCATTCACAGTATAAAAGTTCACATCGTAGTTGTTGAAGAGTATATCATGAAATTCATCGTTTATTGTCGAAGAGGGTATCAGAATTTTGATGTTCTCCATCAACCTATTTTACTTGGAGGAGTGCGATATCGCCTCGAGATTGTTAACGGCCCGATAATGCTGTAAGTTTAGTACCAATAAGTTTAAGACCAATACGATAATCCTGAGATAAATAGGTTATGCTAATGATATTCAATTTTATGAATGTAGATGATGTCGCTTACTTTTTGGTCTTTGTTTTCCTTTATATGGCCTCAAGATCGTGTTTTGTGGATGATGGTGAAGGGACATGGCACTTTCAGCTGTCCAAAAATCAAGGTGAAATTGTTAGTTTCTGTGAAACAGAATGGAAGTGTTAAATGAATGAAAGAAAAAAATGACCTCATGTTCCATTGTCCCACATAGATGGATGAAAACTCTTGAACTCAACATATATACCCCATGTGTTACTCCCCTCATTACCAATTGGTTTTGATGTGGAACCACATGTGGGCTTATATTTGGGCCTTTCAAGATGGTATCAGAGCGGGTTTTAATCCGCGGACCTGTGGGACATGTGGGGCAAGGTGGACTGACCCAGATTGGGTCTTGAAACTTTGGTCAACCCACGGAAGAAATTTGGGATTTGACTTTGAACTTTGACTGACTCGGCAGGCGACGGTTTATCCGGGAAAATAACTGATCGCAGAACTGAAAAAAAAATAAAAAAAAAACATAAAATTACCCGTCCAAGCCCATTAGGCTTGAGAGGGGCGTGTTAAATGAATGAAAGAAAAAAATGACCTCATGTTCTATTGTCCCACATGGATGGATGAAGACTGTTGAACTCAACATATATACCCCATGTGTTACTCCCCTCATTACCAATTGGTTTTGAGGTGGAACCACATGTGGGTTTATATTTGGGCCTTTCAAGAGGAAGACATTTTATCATACTAATATCTTGATATTGGTTTTCATGTCGTGCTATCTTTTATTAGTGACAAATCCTTCCATGCTACAATTTTTTATATCAACAAATTTTCGATGCAGAGTGCTCATATGCCCTCCGATCTATCGGACAGTGAGTAATTTACTCATATTAGAATTTGGAAGAAATGACACAATTTTACCCACACTAACTTTTTGAGTAATTCCTTGTTGTAGGGGATGATGCAGAGCCTTTCTGAGTAATAAAATTTTAAGTTAATTATCATTATTTTTGCACAGCATTTATAGTGTAAGTTATGTGCATTTTTTAAGGTGATTACCAAATTATTTTTGATATTTGACGAACTGTGATTTTTTGTTTGATAAACTGAACCATTGATTTTTATCTTACAAAACAAGTTTTTAATATATACTACCTTTGTCCTATATAGTCTACATTGAGTTTTCAAATTTGTACTAAAAACAGTACAAAACTCTAAACTCAATATGGATTTTTTTTTGGAACGGAGGGAGTATTACTTTCATAATTCCGTGAAACGCATGGGTCACCCACCACAAATTGAAATTGTGAAAATTTTAATATCAATATGTTTTGTTATTTTAACTACATTTACAATAATTTTTAATATTTGAAATCATCTAATGTAACTTGTTGTCCATATTTTCCATTTTGTTGATTTATGACTTTATATTTTTTAAATATATTTTCTTAATTTTCATAATGATATCTCTAATTATTTCTACTCGTGTCATACGTTTTAAGCTCTCCCTCTAATATTTCTCATTATTTCTTCACATAAACTTATTTTTATATTTCATTTCTGTATATAACTTTTGCAACCTTTCTTTCAAAATTTGTTGGTATATTTTCATGTAATACAATGTTTACTTCCTTTTTCATCTAAGTTGCATAGTCTTCACTTTTTTTTTCTCTAAATTTAATGACTTCTCTTTAAGATGATTTCAATTCTTGGAAAAAATTATAACAATTATTTTATTTTTTACTATTATCCAGGTTTCTTTTTGATATATATATATATATTTATGCAGATAAAATTTTTTTCTTCTACATTGTGTAAATAGTATTATTATTATTATTTTAATTTTTCTCTTTTGTATTATTTACACAACGTAATCAACAACAAGCATTTATTAATATTGCTCATTACGGGACAGAAAATATATAACTATTAAAAAAATTTACAATCAAAGCACCAACAACTAAAATAAAACCAATAAACTAAACCAATAGAAAGGAAAAAAAAAAGACCTAATTAATGGTTACACTTAATCACATTACTACGGAAATCAATATTTATCAGTGAATTGGTTTTTCATGACGTGGTTTTTATTTTTAGACGCGAAGTATGAGGAATTTCTACAGTTTCAATGAGATGCGTTTAGGATTCAGTGAAATGTCACCCATAAACTTGGATTTTCTTCATCACAAAATTTCTAATATATCAAATCGATTTCCAATTTTAAACCAAATAAAAAGTAAGAAATTCTACATTTTTCTCTAACCATGATTAGAAAATGCACAATGGCCACAATGAAACATCACATCATATTCCAAAGCTAAAAGCAATACGAATTCTAGCCATTATTACATTTGTCCTACGATTAAGTTTTAAGAAATCTATGAATATGCTTTTGCGTGAGAAGGTGAAAATAAGCTTCGAACATCTGGGCTGGCAGGCGAGACGATAAAATTATGGTGAATCTTTAAAGGGTAGCATTTTTCTGGAGTGTTCGTTTTGGAAGGGCAAAAAGGGTAGCCCGGTCGTCGGTTTTCTTTAACATGAAATTGGTTTTTATTTTTTATTTTTTTATTTGAATTACACCCGCGTGTTATGCGTGATTTTTAAATATTGTTTTCAAGATATTAATATTATATATCTTTCAAGTATAAGTGCATACGGTCGGTGTGAAAATACAATTTAAATGATATTCTAAAATATGTGATATGCTACCGTTTAACAAATTTATTTGCAACTTTGAATTGTTTGTAAACTAGTT